CTCACACGATCTCGCTCTCAATCTAGCAAACTCAGACCAGATCGATATCATCCTGATCCAAGAGCCATATATCTATAAGGATATATCAAGGAAAATTACCAAAACACATCCCTCATATGAAATCTTTACCCCATTAGACGATTGGAAAATCACTCCTTGCGTTCTAACCTATGTCAGAAAAGGAATCGGAATACGAATCAACCAAATCAGACCCACAATCTCACGAGACCTAATTTTCATACAATTACTCTCCACAAACAACTCGGCATTTACAATCATAAACATATACAATGCCCCACCCCAATGTTCAGACGGTAACCAAGCTATCACTTCTCTCTTTGAATTGCAGAACTTCCCATCAAACGTTATCCTACTAGGCGATTTCAATCTCCATCACCCTAACTAGAATCCTCTACATCCCACCCCCTCAACGCTAGCTGAGCCCTTCGTAGAATGGTCCAACTCTCGAAATCTACACCTCATCTCTCCAATCGGAATTCCTACTCATACAAAAGGAAACACCTTAGACCTTACTTTTCTATCAAGACCCTATATAGCATACACCTCTTTAGCTGAACACCTAGATTGCACTTCAGACCATAACACGTTAAAAACCTTACTTCACTGGAACTGCCAAAGTTCGAAGGCCATCCAAAAACTTAGATTGGACACATTGGACGAAAAACTCTTTACAGACCTACTAGGAATAAACCTAACCAATATCGATACCAGCACCGAAGCACTTTACACCAATGAGCTAGATCGATTAGCATCATCTCTCACACAAGCTCTCATAAAGGCCTACACAGGCTCTGCAAAAAGATCTACAAACGGCCCCCTTCAACAACCCTGGTGGAACGAGGACTGTACAAAGGCTGTACACGAACATAGGACTGCTAAAACTCCTGTATCCAAGCGCTCTCTCCGGAGAACAGTCCGGAAAGCAAAACGTGCCTTCTATATCTCGAAAATCGACAAAATAGAGAACATAAACAATGTATTTCGAATAGCCAAATGGCACCAGACTACAGGCATATACCGAACCCCGCCTCTAGCAGACCCCTCAAATTTGACCATTGCAAACAGCATCGAAGAGAAAAGAGAAGCATTCGCCAGCAATCTACTAACAAACTCGGCCGAAGTCGACGATATTCCTTTCGATATCCCAGCGATCTCAAGTCGTTCTATCATCTTCCCCGATATCGATCTACAAGACATAGAACTAGCTATTCTAAAGACCGGGAACACAGCACCTAATGCAGATGAAATCCCGACGAGAATCCTACAAATCGCATGGCCACTAATCAGGGATATAACCCTCTCCCTCTTCAAAGGGTGTTTAAACCTAGGACATCACCCAGAATGTTTCCAGATAGCCACAATCGCAATCATCCCTAAACCCAATAAGCCCGACTATACCAACCCAAGATCATACCGCCCGATTGCTCTACTTTCAGTTCTAGGCAAAGGCCTTGAAAGACTCATTACGAAGAAAATATCATGGCTTGCCCTAAACTACAAAGTCCCTACAATCACATCGAGCTCTACCACTGCGATCCTCAGTAGACCTCACATCTTGTGTCACACATGATATCGAAGCATCTTTGAAACAAGGGTTAAAAACTACACTTCTCACAATGGACGTGAAGGGAGCTTTTGACGCAGTATTACCAGGACGACTAGTGAACCGCCTTCGGGAACAAGGATGGTCAAACAAATTGGTTAAATGGGTACAGTCCTTTGCCACCAATCGTTACATCAAGATCCGACTGGACGGCGAGATCGGCCCAAAAACAAAGCTAGAATGCGGCCTTCCCCAAGGCTCTCCAATCTCCCCGATCCTGTTTATGCTCTATATTGCGCCCCTTTTCTGGATGGGCAATCCACGGAAGAGATTCGGGTACGCTGACGATATTGCGCTACTAGCAACATCCGATAGCCTCCAAAAGAACTGTGATACTCTTCAAGCAAATATGCAAGAAGCTCTCGAATGGGGAAAAACCGAGGGCATCACCTTTGACCCCAAAAAATCTGAGCTAATACATTTCTACAAGGGACATCGCACACTAACTGAAGCTCCCTCAGTACACACTGGCTCCCTGAACATCGAGGTGAATCCTGGTCCGCTCAGATAACTTGGAGTCTATTTCGACAGAAGACTAAACTTCAAGCCACATATACAGATTCTTACAGCAAAAGCCCTCAAAGGAGCTAATGCACTAAGATCCTTCAATAACACATGCCGAGGGATACCCTCCTACTCCACCAGAAGAGTGGCTGTAGCCTGTGTACTAAAGAAATGCTACTTTGCTTCGGAAACATGGTGGCCAGGCCGAACCAGATTAAAGAAGAATGCCTCGAACGAGTCAATTTCAAATGTAGTGGACAACCATATAAATCTACTCAACAAAGTGATCCTCACTTGTGCAAAAGCAATTCTCCCAGTATACAAAACCACGAACACAGCGGTGCTATACGAGGAAGCCAAACTCAGGCCCTCCGAAATCGAGCTAAACTTAGCCTCACAAACATATGCTGTGCGAACCTTCAGACTAGACCCTTACCACCCCCTCAGAATTAGAGCGAAGAGTATGATCAAAGCCAAAGACCAGAACCGAACTGTAGATACAAGACTTTCAAGTTTCATCACAGCATTACCAAAAGCCGAATATATAAATCCATTAGCTTTCCCTTCATGGGAACACAAGGAATCGAGAGCAGAAGCCGAGATACGTGTAGCTGGCCCGATGGGCAGAACAAAGGCCCAAGCAGCTGACGACTTCAAGGCCTTCCATCCTAAGATCCCAAGGAGTGATATACAGATCTTCTCGGATGGTTCAAAAAGCGAAAGCAAGGACGGCG